GCTACGAAGGTTAGGCAAGTCAGCAAATGTCTGCTGGGAGCGTGCCGGCCATCGCTGGCCCTGCCGTGCTGTGGGGGAGGCAGGGGATGACCTTGGCAAGCCCCAGCCAGTCCTGTTCCCTCTCACTCCGGCAAGTCTGAAGATTTACTTTCACCCTGAAGGTAATCAGTCAGTCGTGATTTTGACCTACAGTTTAATGTGCTCTCTTGCTATAGTTACAGACATCCTCCTTCTGGTTATGCTCCCTGCTGTGACTAATGGCATCTTTGCAGTTAAAGAGGTGGTTTTTAAAGAAAAACATCCAAGTTTCAGTGCTGTTACTGAGTTAACAGTTTTAGCAAAAACAATGGCACAGCAGTCCTTGCTATGGTCTATGAACTTGTCATTTTTTGGGTGCAACTGTATACATGTATATTTGTGTACATTCTGCAAAACCCCTACATACCCAGGAAGCAACAATTTTTTTCTGTTTGTGTTTATGAAAAGGATCATCAGTCTTGGTATTCACTATTCCCCAGTGAAATACCTTTTAAGAACACCCTCCACACATACAAAATAGTCTTGGTCAGCCAAAGTTTCTTGAAAACTGAATTATTTTGTACAAATGGAAACAGAAATGGAAATGAGTTTACAGAGATCAGGAACTGAATACCACACAATATACCAATATATTAAGGAAGCTTTACAAATCTGATCCTGAAAGAGTGATTTTTTGGAAGATGTCTAAATGTTCCATGACAAACCATTTTTAAAAAATAAAACCATAAGGATTTTAATGATATTTTGAAAAATACCTCAACCATTCATAACTACTCTTTTTTAAAGCACTGCAACGATTGAAGGTAATTCTCCAAACTGAAGACCAGGTTTTTAGATTTAATGATGAGACTCCTTTAAATAAATAAAACAAATATTTTTTGTCCATGTAGATGTTGATGAAATATTCCACTTTCCAAATAGGTTCTCTGTATCTGTTCACCTCTAAGCCCAATTAAATTCAAGGGCAGCAGATCACAAAAGCTAATGCTACTAGACCAAAATTTCTACTCTGTGTGGCAAGAAAATCAGCAGAAAGTAGCTCAAGTTTTTTTGTTTGTTTTTTTTTTTCTTTGCTATATTAAACTGCAGATGTCATTTGGATACTAATTGGAGTCCTTGTGCAATCATGTTAGATGCCCTGTTCTCATTCAATATGTGGCAGGTAACATAGTACCCATGTTCTTCAAGAAAAGATCAATGACAAAGAGGTAGTTTTCTGCTGCAGGGAGAAGACAGACAATTAGAAAATCACTATTTGTATTCAATCTCTGTTTACACTGGTTGACCACATCTCTTGCAAGTGCGTATTTCTCCCCAGCTTCAGAAATACACAAATATATCAGCACCAGAAGTCTCCTCTCGTTTTAGTTTGCAATTCAGGATTGCTTTATTAATCAACGCAAGATGCATTCATTGAACTGGATTAATCCTGCATAAGTAATTTTGAAATTTCCTGCTGAAGTTATTTTTCATTTCTGGGAACAAATCATTTATTTGGATTTTCATATATCAGGATCACAGAGATTTGCCACAGTCAGATTTTAATTTTAGTTACATCTGAGCTGGCTTATATATTAGGGTGCATAGTTTTGCATGAGAGCATCTTCTAAAATCTGTAATTGGTGTGGAACACTGACATGCACAGAATACATCTGACAAGGTCCAGAGAGTTAGGTTCAGTTTCGCTGATCAACATCTATGCTGCAGATTAACTGAATCTTTTATGGCATTACAAGCCCTCCAGAATTCATTAGTGTGCTTTCCCTTCCTGCAAACCACTCTGACCTCCAGTGCTGCCGTCACTACTTCCTTGGACTGGACCCGAGAGGCTGAAACACTGACTCCTTTCCACTCCTGCACTAACAGAAATTAAATGTGTCTCTTAAAACTGCCTTGGACTGTGTGCACTGGCACTCATCTTGGCCTTTTAGCACTGCTTGGGATTTCTTTCTCCTTTGTCTGTACTAGAAAGCTCTATTTAAATTGAAATATGGTCTCTCCCCGTAAAAGCAAGGGAACTAGAGTACTTTATTAACCAGTACAATATTAACCAGTATATATAACGAGGTTTGGCATGGATTTTTCTCAGAAATTTTTTCACAGATGCAGCTCGCAGAGGAAATCATTGTATTAAAAGCAGAAAGGGGGACAAACACGAGGGAAAGCAATAACAGTTTTTGGGAGGTGAGTACAGAGTACCTTCAAAGACAGTGCTGTAGTTAATGAAAAGCATATTTTTCAAATGCTCTCTTTGTCATTCTTAAGGGCATGGGTACAGGCTGCAAGTCACCAGCAAATCAGTCTTCTCGCACTTCTTGGCCAGTGGATGGAACCATAGCTCAAGATCAGGGAAACATATTCTGTTTTCCAGGTCCCACTCTGCAAAAGTACCTCGGCAAGTTTGTTATGCTGAGGGTGAAATGGAGAAGATTAAGATTTGTCAGGAAGGACAGCAGAGAAAGAGAAGTATGGAACAGTCCACGTGTCTAGCTCCCAAAGATGACTCTCATCAGAGAATCAGAAATGGACAGGGCTCTTCCATCCAATGCAGCTGGGACCAGGAATTGTGGCTCATCTGCTCTTCTTGTGCTTCCCACCACCAGCATCAGCTCTCCCCCCTTATCACAGGTGCTGGCTGTGGTTGGGTGTTTGCCACAGCCCAGGCCCTGCAGAGAGGTGTCGCTGGGCATCTCTGATAGGTTTTGTTCTGCTGAAGTCTGTGCATTAAAGCTTGAAACTGTACCTAAGTACCTCAGTACTTTGCTGATTTATCCTTCTGCTTGGCAGCTAGACCACTGAAAATGATTAGCTAAATGCCATCACCCAAGGGCTTATTTAGTTAGTTTCATGTTTATCTCATGTTGTCTTCTGTTGAATTTTATTGTTTCTCTTCTGCCCTTTGTATTGCCTTTCCTCTCATTTTTTTCCAGCCTTGCTCTGATATGTGCTTCTCAAAAACCATCTTTGCTTCCCTCATTAATCCTGATTTTTTCTGTGCTCTCAATCCTCAAAAACTTCCCACCTTCTCCTCTCACAGTCTTGTTTTCTATTTTTCCTTTCATTTACTTTGTTCCCTTCCTTTCTAAATCATATCTCTGCCCATTGCTTCCAGTTTCTCTTCTTCATCCTTCTCCCACATTATGTAAAAAAAAAGCATAAATCTTCCTTCCTTCCTCTGCGGAAATAAACTCATTAATGAAACAATCCTATTAATCATGCTATCTTAGCGCTATCCAGTACAGCCCACACCTGCTTTGAACACAGGGGTCAGTTTGCTCAGTGCACCCCCCTGGTTTGCATAGGCAGGTTCTGATCCCTGCCAAAGGTTTGTAGGCATGAATAAACAATGCATGAATAGTAACTGGCATTGGTGATGCTTCTGCTTTCTGCTAGAACCTCCTGCTTTTACCTTGTCTCAGCCTGGCAATATCTCTTGTCCCAACTCCTCTACAGCACGCCCATGCAGGCACTTCCCCTCCAAGAACTGAAATACCCATAGTTAGAAGGGTTTTGTCACAGAAGGAACATTTTGAAGAGGTATGAATTTGCCACAACAAACACTAAATTCCCCAAACCAAGACTGAGCTTAACAAGCAGGGTCCTTTTCACTTACTGTGGGACAGGGGAACACAGGGAGCAGTGCAAGGCAGAGACATTTCAGAGGCATGCAGTGGCTGCTCCAGTGAGAGCAAGCACAGGGCTTGAGCTTTTCCTGCTGGAAAAAGGTGCCACTTTCCCAGGCCAGGCACTGCGCTCAGGGGAAGAAAGAATCTCTATAGACCCATGTTTTACCGTGGCCACTGTGCTGATAAGCACTGAGTAATGACACTTGGAAAACAATGAGGCCATTATGTAACACCAGAAAATAAAGCAAGTTCACACATCTACATGATAAAAAAAAGTTCCAAAGAATTTAATGTAGATATTATTTATACATACACTTTATAAGTAGGAATATGGCAGACAGTTGAATTAGTACATAAAGTTTTATTTAAAGTTTCCCCCCTACAAGCAAGCTTCATTTACACAGTCTAGTACTGTACAAAATTTACATTCTTTGTGTGACTTATTTAGTTAGCATTTTTTCCTTGGTCATGCCTTCTTGATAGATAGAAAGATTTAGATACAGTCCTCATAAATCTTTAAATTATCTTGGTAAAAAAAGGAACCATTTAAAAGGACAAGAAGTATCCTTTAAAAATGGTACATTTTAGTAGACAGGTGATCGTCAGTGTTCAGTGGCAGACCTTTTAAATGTCATACAAGGTTTCCTCATTTAGTATCTTAACAGTTTCCTTTTTTATATATATTTATATTTATATACTTTCAACAGGAAAGGAAAAAAGGTCATGATTGCACCAAATATATTTTACAAGGGATCCCTTGGATCTGAACAATATAAATAAATACAAAACCAACTAAGATTGCACTATGTAGGAGAAATGGATTGAGATTTCAGGATATACACTCCACCTTTATGAGTTCCTTAGTGATGCTCACTGGAAAACTCCCCAAGGGCTCATTCAAATATTAGCATCTTCAGATAATTATTTTGTTTAATTTTTTTTTTTTTTTACAGGTGTGCAGCTACTTCATCAATTGGATTATTGCATTTGTGTGGTACCAGTCTTTACCGCATTACTCCAATTTTGTAAGTTGTGTAATTCTGCTGCAAGCAAGGGAGTGAGTTTCAATAAAACTAGACTGATGCCAGAGAGAAACAGTCCCATGATATTTGCTCTCCGTTATTTATATTGCTCTCAAGCATCAATATAGAGTGTAATTTCTGTGTACATTCACCCTTTTTCTATTTTGCAAAGCAAATAATGAAGCCTTTCTTCCATCTATTGCCTCTGCAGCAGAAACCAACCTCCAGCAGCTGCCTGCTCCTTGCTTAATGCACTAGCATTAAGTCCTGTCATGAAAGACATGTGCAGGGCTGAAAATGCAGGATTGAATTATGCCCATACTGTAATGAGGTGCAGGTGATTATGTCTGTTAACTGCAAGGTGGTGAAGAATCGGGCTCAGATTCTGTCCCTGCTTTTGCAAAGCCAGGACAGAAAGACATAAGCTTAACACATAGACAGTCTGATTTGTGCAAGCAACTACGACTTCATGAAGCAAGTCCTAAATGCTACCAGTCCCGTGTGGGAGCATTCTGAACTCACTTTGCAATGTGTAAATAATTACACAGGCTATAAGGCAGTGGAAACTCTGGCCTTATATTACTTTGGATCAACAGTAAAACTCTCTCAGAGTGCATCTTAGGATCAACCACACAGGACTACTTTAACTACTTACCAGCGTCTCTCCAAAAATGTACATAAGCATTTCAGAGTCCAAAGCAATAAATTTATGATTAAATGCAGTCTTCTTGTCTTTGGAAAGAACTCACACAGATGCTGATATCTAACAGGTTAGTGAAAAGGAAGTAAGGTTTCTGGTGCTTTGTTAAGTGGTCATAGAAATAACTTACTTTACAAAGCCAGATTTTAAGCTGTAGGATCCAAATTCTGTTATACTAATGTAGAACCAGTCATTCCATGTGATTTCAGTGAAATGACTCTGACTTTACACAAGTGTGATTAGAAGAATTTGATCCTAATCCCTAAGCTGCTATTGCAAGAAGTGCTCTGTAAAGCATAGCTTTCATTGTAGTCTGCTTTCTGCTGCACTTGCACATGGGGACTTTGAAGGCAGAGTGTATTAGTTGCCAAGCTGTGCAAAAACTGAATGATATTTCTTTACCTTTTATAATCTTCTGGTGCTGTGTTGCTTGCAGAGCATATGAAGTAGTTGTAGGTTAGGATTACAGAGGAGGAGACAATTCTGCAATGCAGTGTGAGCTTTTCACTATCTGAATTCTGAAACATTCATGAAAACAACATCCTCATGACTTCAACACAGATCACATGCAGGTAGATACAATGCACAATACTGATCGTGTCTCTTCAGGCTCTATTTGAAGAGTTAGCCATCATTTATTTTTTAAAGTTAAATTTGATGTGAGGAGTGTCTCTGCAGCAGGAAAAGTTTAAATCAGTCTGAAAAGGCAGTCTGTCAGCATGTAATGTTCGGTGTGTTTTAGCTTCTTGCTTCATAAGACACCGGCACCTATCTGAGATGGGACAACGCTTGGTTTTTCTTTTCTTTTAGTTTGCTCCTAAAGCATAAACATGGAATGAGGGGTCAATTATGGTAGCTTTGTTTTAACAGGAATTCTGTTCTAATAAAATATTTACGTCACCCGTCATTATTTTCCCAAATGCACTCAGTGTTCGTGTCAGTGCTCCTGGCCCATCACTTGTTGTATGGAACACAGGCCGGCAATACCACAGTCGAACACGCAGGTCCTGCAAGGGGCTCCGCAACATCACCTTCCAGTTCTGTCCAAGTCCCTTTCTCAGGACTGTAGCAAATAGTAGAAGATTTGTAGGCTCCCTGTAGCAGAACAAAATGTCACATTAAATGTGGCTTTGGTAAAATCCAAGTCACACATCAGCTCTAAAGATATTTGAAAGTGACTCGGGGTCGCTCTAACTTAGAAGCTCGTCAAGAAGTTATGGTTTTTTCAGCACCCAGCCGCTGAAAATCAATCTCCTTTACAAGCACCTCATAAGCAGAGCTGTAAGCACATAGTCCCATCAATAACTTTTTCAAAATTCCTTCTGATTTTTAAATTACTCCATATCACTGAATAAAGTGTAAGAATAACTCATCTAAATAGAGAAGCACAAAGGTTAAAAAACACGCCATGTTCTCCACAAGCTGAAAACCAACCAAACCTGCCCCTGTAGCTAATTCCCCTCTCCTCTCCATCCCATCTGCATACTATACAGACTGGCCACAAGAACTCAGAAGGAACAGAGGGGTGATTGTAGGAAGCAAGTACACACCATACTCCAGCTGTAGCCTCCTACAAGGTAAATACTGTCATCAAGGACCGCGCAGCCAGGGCCACTGCGACCCTCCAGAATAGGAGTCTGGAGGATATTCCACTGGTCACCTTTTGGATCGTAGCATTCCACAAGCATTACGTCGAGATGGGAGAAACCTGGATGAGGGCATTAAGAGAACATGTCTTATGACATACTGTTTTATTACTTTTTAAAAATTTATTACTATTTTCATATACATTTAAGCCAACTTCTGTAATATTAATGTTTCATTATTTCAGTTCAAATAAATCTGTTGAAAGTTTTTACCACTACTTCTACAGTCTTCTACAAATCATGAGTCCATATAAAACCTGACCACATCAGGAAACGCTCAATAATTTATCAGTGACACAAGCAGATTCAAACAAACTTCTTCCTTGTCTATCAGTGTTAATACAAGTTTGAACATGTAGGAAAAGACTGTCCTGGCAGTCTTTCACAAAATTCAGCAGATCCAATCTATTCAAAATTGAAAAGATTGAATTTTTCTCAGAAATCAATGTCTAACAAGGGAGAGCTTAGACAACTGATGCCACTTGGTTCTAGAGGGACAAAGTGCTTAGCACAACGGACGTGATGTGCAGGACCAGTTTCAATTTTCTAGCTGATTTAAGGTGTACCCTAAAGCACACAGCTGGGGTAAAGTCTTTCAGGCAACAAAAAAATGTAACCACAAATATGGTGGTCCCATCTTTCCCTGGTAGGCCAAATAATGCTCCAAGCGAGTGCTGCTGTTTGATCCCCAAAGGGCAGACGGGTCTCAGCTCAAGATTCTCAAGCTGTATCAGTTAATATGAATTAAGTGAGCTGAACACAGACACTGAACACAGGAGTCCCAGCTCCTACTCTAATATTTAGTAAATTCCCTATTTCAAACTACCTTTTTTGTCAGAGCACTGTGGTAAAGTATGGCTTTCTTAATATGCTGAAGTGCTTTTCTTAACCTTTTGTCTTCTCTTCAAGGTATGACAGCAAAGGGAAGTAAGATTTTCTGTAAAAAGGGTATTTGGTGATATCAGCACTTCATGAGGGAGCTGCTTGCTCAAGTATTATTTACGTCTGGAACGAGTATGAACTAATATGAAATAATTCACAATAACATTAAATAATTATTTGCTGCTTTAAGGTTTTCAAGGGGCCATAAAAAGGCCACTGCTGTGCACCCAGAAGCTGTCAAAAGCTCTGTAGCAAACTGCAGTATGCACATGACTACCTGTGATGTGGTAAATGCACAGCTATCACTACTACACAGTTCAGCTTCACAAAGGAGGGCTTTGCCATGGGAGGGCTTTGCCATGGAGCCCTGCTATTCCCTGCCAGTGGAGAATTTGTAACATTTCATCCACACTTCCTCCTCCCTGTCCTTGCAGTTCTTCCTTTTGTTTCACTGTATAGCAGAAACCATTTTTTTTCCAAAAAGTCCTTTTACCAGAGAGCCATATCTTTCCAGAAGCCTGGATGTTTAATACCTCTCACAACAGTGAGCAGTTCAAGCATAACAAAGGCACCCAGGACAACAGCTGTAGAGGCAAAAATGCAAAGCTTATTAGATGTAGATGAAACTGCGTGGAAAAAAAAAAATAGAAGCAATTTAAGCCTCTGCAAACCAAAGCATGTGCTTCAGCTTGAGAGCTGTGAAAGGTTTTACTTTTGTAGGAAGAAAAGCCAATACTGTGAAACACTGAAACCTACAAAATTTTCAGGTGTTCATGGGCAAGCAGCTTTTGCCCTCTTCACCTTATAAGGTCCAGTCCATAAGCAGCCATCCCAGCTGGGGGTGGGGAGTGGAGGCACAGCAGCACTGAACCTGCCTGCAGGGTTTTATGCACCAGTACTATTCAACAGGGAAAATTTACGTCTGGGACTTTGTCCCTTGCATGCTCCACAGACACTCAGATCTCCAAAAGCAGTGTGTGGCTTTACAGTGTCATGGGGTCCCGGGGGCTGGAGTCAGGCATGACCTGATCTTACTGGCAGTTTACATATTTTTTTACTTTTTGTTCTACATTATGATTTTCTCTTTTGTTTTGGTAGTCTTTTCATGTTTTGGTTTTAAAAATTAAGGGAGAAAGAAGAAAAAAGTGAATATAAACTATCAAATATTATCATGGGACAAAGAAACAGGAGGTGTGCTTTTTGTCTAAGTGGCTGGATTAAGAAACATCTTTAACAGCAATGACATACAGGTATTAAGATAAAAATACCAGATGCCTAAGCTATACTTATTTTAATATGAAAGCTTTTCAAAAGGTAAAAACAAGAGATCTCTAAAAAGAATTATAATAAACAAGCTACATTTAATACTAAAAAGGGATTTAAAGAGCCTAGTCCTAATATTTGATGGCTGGAAGTTTGCTTCTTTTTTCCTCTTCATTAAATCAGGAGCTTGTTTTTTGTGTGTTGCTCTGAATAAAGCTCTCTTTAACTGCACATTTTGGAAAATGATTTACAGAGGAAAATATTGCTGGGACTTTCGGGTCAAAGAATAATCTGTTTGTTTCATTGAATTCTTGGTAATGACAAATTGTCCATGCCTTTGAGTAATGGAAGCTCCCATTTGTATTATCTAAAGCATTCATTACTCATATATTTAATGTACTGTTATAATTTTAAAATAATTTGCATAAAATGTTTTTAAAATTGCTGGCTCAAGTGTCCTGTTAAATTGTGTTACTTGGCTTTTAATGTATTTAACAGTGACTGTCTTAACAAAAATATTCTTTCTCAGAGATGTGGGACACTGAGATATTTTTTTGTTATTAAAAATGTGACCTTTCAAATGGTTTCCTCCAATTGCATACAGTCGGTCATTCATTACAGCCAGAGTGTGGATTGCTCGTTTTGTGTTCATGTCCTGTTTTCGGGCCCAGACGTCCATCACAGGGTCATAGCAGTACAGCCAGGGGACATATTCTCCATTGTGGACACCTCCTGCAAAGTAAATACACATCAGTTAATTAATATAAATAAAGACATTGTGCTGCAGCAGGAATTTAACTCTCTGGTTTTGGGGTTCTGCAGTTCACGCTTTTTTTTTATGGCGGTTTTGGGTTGGTGTTCTTGCCATACAGCAGGAATTATTCAAGACACTGGCCTGAAATATATATCTTGCCATTGTGAACGGCTCCTGCATGGGCTGCCAGGGGTTGTGGTAACGAAGACACGTAACGCCACTCGTTTGTCTCCAAGTTGTAGCACTCAACGCTGGACAAGTAGCCAGTTTCGTTTCTTCCACCGATGACATACAAGTTCTTGTCAAGGCGGCAGGCATAGAAACTGGCTCTCCTGGAGGACAGGGCAGAACGGAACAAAACAAGCCAACAACAAACCCATTAGCCATGTCAAACATTTCTTTCCCCTCTCCAGCTGACTCCCTGAATGAAAAGAGCTGCTCCTTCACATGCTACACCAGAGAGAAGTGTCAGGGAGTTTTACATGCTTACAGCTATCCTAGAGACTGTGTCTGCTTTGCTAATCAAATACACAATACTCCACGTGAAAAAATACTTCATTTTTTGTGTCAAAACAATTAGGTGCACATAAAACTGCCAGAAAATGCCCCTTTTCAAAGCTGTTTGTTGCTTTTTCACACCCATGAAAGATAAAAAGGTGCTCATTAATGTATGGGGCATTACCTTGTAAGGGATATAACAACTCAGTAAGACAAAGTGAAAAATGAGGTAGATAATGTAACAATAATAAATTATCTTGACATTCACTTTCTTTATGGTCCTTCAAGGGTCATTGTTCCCAATTTACTAAGAGAACCACATCATCAAAATTTTTCTTCAATTATCATTTTTTTCTTCCTTCTGCAGTACTGCAAATAGAACAACTTCCCTTATGCTAGCCACAACACTGCATTCCCACCTTTTAACTCAAATGAGATCTGTCTCCATCCAACTAACCCTGAGAAAAGTTTTAGCCACCTGTCTGCTTTTACATGCAACTCAGGTGTGTAGGAAAAGAATTAAGATTTCTGGCCAGGACTGTGGGGCATTTATTAGTTTGTCTTCCTTGTGCCTCCAAAATTAATGGTGTTTGTTCCCAAAGTAAAAATTGAGCTGTAGATGATTTTGAGAGACCTTGGTGCAATCCACTCTCAGGGAAAGCTCCCAGGATCATTCCAGCAGCAGGAAGGTTTGCTAGAGTAGATACCTTTAAGTTCAAGCTGCAATAACATGAGAAAGAAAACGGCAAAAGAGCAGAGCTGGGCTAGGATGAAGAGCTGTACAAAATATTGAATGACATGGGAGCCCAGAAATATGCAGGCAGGCCAGGCACAGCAAAGTGTACTTCTGACAGCTCCTGCAAAGCAGGCACTCTGGAGTGTGGCTGTATCTTGCCAAACCATGCTCTGTAGCTGATTCAATGCACTCTGGTTCATGCCCAGATGCCTTAATTTGAATTTGGGAGCAGCTGCTTATTTCACTCCTGAATCATGCACTAAATCTTGGGGCCTTGATGGTCACCTGCACCGTAAGGACTCAAACCTGCGGAGCACTGCAAAGCATTTGGATGAGCAGTGGTACACACAGAGTACAGCATCCTCAAGGAACAGCTTCAGTATGTCCACCTCCTTCCCCGGCTTCCCAGAGCCATCCCATGACCAGGTCAGCTAGCAAAGTCTGTGGTGCCCTGTCCCTAACCTGACATCTAGCCAGGCATCTTCAGGAGCATTTCCTTCAGTGAAGACAGGAATAAGATCTTGCTCTTTTGCACAGCTACCTATTTTCACAAAATCTGTAGCATCCTTTAACATTTTGGAAAAACCTCCCTCTTAGTTAAAAGTGTCTGAGACTGGCTGGTGGTTTATAAGTTGGAAGAGAAGTCAGGCAGACACCAAGAGATTCAGCCATGGAAACAGCAGAGCTGTCTGGGCATTCAGGGAACACATTTGATGCATCACTGCCAGTTTCTGACCTTACTTTTTGGATTTGGTGCACACCTGACAGAGCTCCTCACCAGCCAGGGTCACTGAACACCTCCTGCTCACTTCTTTGTTTTCACCCTGCCTGCACATGCGCAATTTGGATGGTGTGGGACAGAACCCCTTTCTGAGTGGGGCTGGGAACTCCACCATAGGGAAGACTTCTGAAAGAAAAACGTGGAAATAAGAGAACAGGAATACTGGCAAGTGTCTCCAAATCAAGTGATGAATTTAAAAAGACCATTTAATTTATCTGTCAGTGGGCAGATAGAAACTGATGGCATATTTTGCTCCGCATGGTCGGGCAGCAAATTGTGCATCTATGTTTTTAGCCTGATATTCTATGGAAACAAAGCTAATTTGATTACACTGTACATGTGCCCATGTCTGCCTACTGTTGTCTCCTAAAAGAAACCCTGCTGACTGATTTCATTCTAATTTGACAGAGGCTATAGGTGTTACAAGCAATCAAGTGTGTATATAAGCTTTCTAGAATATGTGATGGGCCTGAGGCAACACAGCCTACAGTTTCCCCAAAAGTAGGAAAAGCTGCAGAGGTCACCTCCTATTAGACATGAGAGAGCCTGCATAGGCAGGTACACATTTTTCAACCTTTCTGTGTCCAGCAACCATCAGGCACAAAACCAGAGGGTGCCTTCTCTCAGTGCTCCCACATCCACTCATCCGTCCTTGTGCACCTTCTCTGGTGAACCCATTAACAAACTGCTCTTGGCATGTTTTGGTTTTTTTTTTTTTTTTTTTAATCTCAGGTTTAATTAACAGAGGTAAACACAACTTGCATGTATTGTCCTCTTAACTAGGATTTCACTGACAATATTCTGTATGTGTACTCCTGGTTTCATCCACACAGTGTCACTATAAGGAGCAAAAATGAAAGCATCAGCATACTTGACTCCTCTGCTTGGATGTGAACATTCACTTAGTACCTTCTGTCACAAATATTTTAAGCTTTTTGGGTTTTTTGAATTTTCAGTGATGCAGTGTGTAAGGGCATGCTGTCAAGTGATGACTTTTAACTGCTGTAAAATATGATTAAGATTAAACTATAACACAAAAATCTTTGCATGACAACTTTCCTCTCAATACTGAGAAGACACTATCAGATTTTAATCAGATAACTAGAATGTACCTCAGGATCTGAATATGGACAATAAGACAATTATTTTGTGATTTTTTTCAGGACTTGAAAGTACTCAATGTTCACTGGTCTCCTAGATGCTTCTCCTTCGCACACTTCACCCAACCATCAACCCAACTAACTTCTTCTTTCATGTACACACATATAAAAGGGAAGATTTTCCTCATGATTTTCATGCATGATGAATTTATGTCCTGAAACACCAAACAGAACTACCAGTCTGAGGTTCAAAGTTACCAATGCTGTTACTGATTGTCATTTCTGGACCTGATTTCAGAGTCACTTATAGAGCATGTGTTGCTTTTTAAAAATAAATAATCTTAATAGGGGTTGACATTACTATTATTAAAGTCAAATAAAAAAATAAAATGTGATTTTTAAAAAAATCCCTTTTTCTGTGCCTTTTCTCAGCTCACTCAGCCTCAGAGAGTACCTGCTTACTTCCCATTTTCACTTGTGCTTCTTCAATGCGTTTGGCTGGTATTCAAACAAAAATTGTTAACTCAGAATATAAGAAAAAAAATTATTTTAAATATTGTTTTGCTCCACAGAAAAGCTCTGTGTTGGCAAGGTGCAACAGTTCTGAGGTGTCCAGCTGGGGCTCGCACCCACAAGCTCAGATACAACTGCTACAAAGACTGCTCCTTCAGCAGCCATCATAGTCTAACTGAACTGCTCTCCAAAAAACCTTCCTGTTGTTATGGCATGATCAGGCAGATGTGTATTTCCAAAGCTTATGAGTCATTTGCTGGTTCTCTAAACAACAAACTCCTGATAATAGTTCATACTTTTCAAAAGCATCTATATTTGAGATGGTCTTCAAATGAAAAGAAACTAAATTGGCTTTAAAGAAAATACACCGGCAACACTGAATCCATAACGGGATTAGATTTTTCTTTATAGCTCACACAGTAAAATCAATCAGATATGGATTTTGGCATGTGAGATAAAAGTTTACTTATCAAATATTTCATACAGATTTTTGACTTGAGAATATACTGCCTGTGAACGAGTCCCACATTTACCTGGCAGTCATTTCAAAGGAGCTATTATAATCTATCCAGCCAATTATTCTCAGACTAAAATTCCTAAATAGGTTTTGACTTGATGGACCATAATGACTCAGAAAAACCCATTTAACAGTCTGTCTTGTCAATGGTGCCTGCATTATACCAGCAGAGACAGGGCATGACCCTGTACTCCTAGCAGGGGGAAAACAGCCTGGTGACTTTAATGGGAACTTTATCTCACTAAAGGAGCTGGCAAAGAAAACTGCATAAAAGCTCTCTCTTATTTGTATGATCTCCTACAGACTGGGCCAGTCCATACCTCTGAAAGCTGCAAAAACTCTGAGGAAGTCATTAGGACTCAACAAACAAATCATCAAACACATTTTAGAAAATGAGTGTAAAATCTCTTTTTTCCAACAACAGCCCTAATTCTTAGGAGCCTTTATAGAAAAACAACAGGCAAACTGATGAGCTATGTATTCTGAACAAAAGAGGTGACAATTAACGTTGTCATAGTGAAGCCCCTTGCAGAAGGAACTATGTATGACTGGACTATTGTATTTCAGTCCCTCTGTAAGGAGCTGTGGTGTTTACATACATTACAGTTTATTATGGGCAGGAGCATGGGGCACAGCTGAGTTTTGGCCTCTTGGCTGAAGGCAGCAGCTTCCACCAGAGCACAAGGCCCGTCACCTACCACATGGTTTCCCAGGAAACACAACTGGCCAATGTGGAGGTGGAAAAATTCCTACTGCCTCCTTTCTCCAGCCCTCAGCTGCCTAGTTCTGCTTTCTGTGGTTTGTCAGCCAAATAAACCCAACTGCTCAGCCAGCTGACAACACCCCTCAGGAATTTGCCTGGAGATACACAGAGGGCCTAGTCAGGACTCAGATTAGGCTCCACAGAAGAGTCCAGGCTCCACACAAAGTCTCCTAGTCTCCTAGTTGGTCTCCTAGTCAGTCTCCCAGCTCAGCAAGGATGACTTGATGCCCAATATGATGCTCACCTCCTGTCTCCCCCATGCCAACACCTAAACTGGCTGTGACTCACTCTAGGAAGCAGAACCAGATGGAAAGGTGTTCCTCTGTTTTAAAGTAAACAATCACAGCTGTGAAGGTTATCCCACAGTGCTGGTGGGAATGAGGGAGAAGGCTAGGTGTTGCCAAAGCAGGGACTTAGGTCAAGCAAACGGAATCTTGAACAAAGGTCCTTCAAAAATTCTGCAGATTGACGTTATACCCCTGGAAATTTGAAAAGACAGCCATATTTCCAAGCATCTCATACAACACACCTTGAATCACAAGGCTGTACTGAATTCAATATATTTATGACTGCCAGACGCCTGAATAGTGTAGACAGTCAACAAAAAAAGAGCTGTAATACTGACATGGAATAAAGAAATCATTTGAGATCTTTTATACGTGGGATCCATAAGAAGATGGGTGTTGAACTGAAGGAAGGACACTAAACATTTTCTTCAAATAACATTGTAACTTTGTATCTTCTGCCTCTAAGATTCTTCTTATGAAACACGCACAATTCTGTTCAGGTTTATGGATTTTTTTCCCATCAGGGTAGGATTTGGGATCCACAGTTAAGTTTTACATCATCTTTATGGGTCATTGCTCAAGTCCACATCCACCTTTGCTCTTTGGTACACAGCAAGGTTAAAACATGAGCTACTCTAATAGGCATTTACTGACAGCAACTTGACTCAAAGACCACCTGGGATTAAGAGTCCTCTCTGACAAGTGGAGACATGTTCAGGAGAGCTTTTCATAGCTGGTGTGGTAAAACAGGATGGAGTCAACATTGTGAAGGTTTCAGTTCCCTCTAAGATATCTGACTATAATTACTGCTTGTTTACTGTAAATTCATCATGACACTTCAGTCAGGGAACATGACAGGACACTATGGAGACTTCAGGAAAATCCTTCAGACTGTACTCAGGTAACCAGTAATTGCATAAAGTCCATGGCTATTTTGCATGAGTTAGCACTGCAGGACTTGGCATCTGGAGTTCTGAATTTGGAAAGTTTTAAAAATTAGGAGGCAAATGGAACATAACTGCATGCTGCAGTTTTATCTGTGTTTTCAAGGCTTCTATAGGCCTCCTTACTCCCGGAACTAAGCCAAACCTCAGCTGCTCCTAGGATGAGAAAACAGAAATTGAAAAACACATAGCAGGTTTTTACCTCTCTTGCATGGGTGGAAGTTGTATCCAGCTGTTAAACCTGGGATCGTATCGGCTAACAAAGTTTGTACTGTGTTTCCCTGTAAAGATAGATTATTTTGACACTCAGCTGTTTGTTTCATGTATTTAACATCATGATTGTAATATATATTACATATACTTCACAAGTTGACACCTTTTATGAAGGGTTCCCCCTTTTACAACAATGTATGATTACACTATGTGTACAGTAATAATTCAACAAATGGGGCACTGCAAGGCTTGAATTAGCAGTCACTAGCAGTAAAAGCAGATAGCGATTATTCTTGGTCTTTGTAATAAGATCTTGAAAATGTGTATTTAAATTTACTTATACATGCCGAGGTATTTTCACAGCCACAATAAATCACAGCACTAAATAAAATTACTGGCCAAAAAGGGCATCCCCATGGTATTTTTATGACTAGAATTTTGTCAGGTAAAAAAATTAAAGGGAGGACACGCACTCTGCTTTCTCCTTACATCACCTCTGTGTAGAACATGGCAAAAACCCACTGTGCAAATAACCAGGAGCTGCATAAGCCATCAGCATGGGGTATGCAGTGTTTGCACTAGATAGTTTATTCTACCATGTACTTTCAGTGTAAGTTAGAAGGAATTACAGATGTGCATCGAAGGGGGAATACACTCTTAAGAGTTTTATTCCAACTGTGTTAGCTAAAATATGAAGCATGAGCAACATACACCAGCTAACTAGCTTCTCCCTGATGTCAAGCCCAAGAACTGTGTTCATGTCTTCACGATATTAAGATTTCACCTTATTTTACATGCAGATTGACACCAAAGCAAGAAAACTGAAGCAAGAGAGTGCATGGCAATTTCCTGTAACACCTGAGACTTCAATAGATGAGCATTTTGAAAACAAAAACGTTTGTTTATGTATGTGTGACTAAAAAATTGAATTAGAGGCTTCACAGGCCAGCAGAATAACCTAACTGTGTATGTCACAGTTCTATAAATGGTCACTGGGCATTCTACAAGGTGAATATTTTTGCATCAGACAAACCTCTGCAGGATTGGTTCACTTTGCCTGCTTCATTCCACACCTACTTCAGCATGTGCAAATAGACCATCAAGACCATAGAGAGGAATAACAATACAGCTAGAATTTGTATTCCTAATAATTTAAGATCATGTTCTACAAGAAAACAGAGAAAGAAACCACACTGACCGCTCTGGAAGTAAACTGATTTCCTCGCCATGTTATAAGCATGTTCTATATGAGGAGGGTAAAGCAGAAGACTGATGAGTAATGCAGAATTTCCCTTCAAATTCAAATAACGAGGACCACGCTGAGTGCCATTCAAAGACATGACCATCTCAGCACCATCTCAAGACACAGGGAAGGATTCCCATACTGTAAGGGCAACTGGTCATTCTGCCACAGGGCTTAGTGAAGTGAGGCTTTGCTTTTGGTCCTTATCTGGATTCCTTTAGTCTACACAGACAATTTAGAAAAAGAAGCATCAAGAGCTATAGATTCAATAAGCAGCAAAACAGTAACAGCAAGCTTGAACAGACTCTAGGTTTCACTGTCTAAGACATTTGCTAATCTATTTGTATTTCAAAAAGCAGGAATTCAAAATAATATAAATATTGATCCTAAGTTTAAACTTCTATTTTTAATTTTTTTTTCTAGGTTTTAATGCTGCTGTATTCACTGCATCTTTCAGAGTTACTGGGACTTCAGTGCTCATTAGCTATACAGCAGCTTGTTCATTGTTGTCACACAAATCTGTAATTTGGCTGCCTAATACGTGTCATACACATACTCAATACAAACACCATGTATGTAGAAGATTGTAAGGCATGGGGCAGAAGAAGGGTTTAGTAAGTCTAGAGTGGGGATGCAGGATAAAAATCTGGGCCCTTCACAGGAAGGGAGATGAAATCAAACTAGAACAGGCACAGAGAAGAGCTACTATGGCAACAGGAAGAACAGAAAGTTTACCTTATGGCAGGAGACAAAGAACTTGGCCTGTTGCAGCTAGAAATACAAAAGCTGAAAGGGGATAGGAGCGCTGCCTGTAATACTTCAGAGGAACAAATCTCCGGGAGGGGAAAAACTGTTAAACTGAAGGCCAGCCTTGGCATGAGAACAAGGTGATTTAGACAGTCAAAGAATACATTTTACTGGACATCAGAATAAGGCTTCTAGTCATTTAGAGCAATTGGATTCTGTAACAGCTTTCCAACAGGAGAAGTGGGGGCTAGAAATACAACTGCTTTTCAAATGCAGCTTAGAAAATTTACAAAATGGGACTATATGATACCTGTGATTGCAGGAAAAGGACTTGATGACCTAGTTAATCTGCCTGGAGTAATTCATTTGACTGCAGTTTAAGTCTAGACTTCAGTTTGAGAGAACTCTACCTATTTTTTGCCTTGCTTATCAGTCAGGAGATTGCACATGCTAGGATGCACCTGTTCTGTCAGAACAGAGAACTTGGGACAAGCGAACAAAAATCAGGATTAGCAAATCAGGACAATGGGACAAGCAGGTACTGTTCTCTGCTCTGCAGCCATGCTAGAAGGTGATGGGCTCTGAAGGTTATTAAGGTTGGTCTGAAATCCATGCCTAGGTTGTGCACCCTGCTTTCATCAGTGTTTACTCATGCAAGAGCCTCTTGTGACTGGAAAGGCACAGCTACTGGAGGACATAAAAAAATGAGAAAAAATGTCTCCCATACTTCCTGGGTTGTCAGCAAGTCAGCAGACCATGAAGGAAGTGGGTGCACTCCTTGTTTCTCAAGAACCAGACAGTCTGATAGCTAAAGCAATGTCTTTCCATTGCCACCATCTCTAAGATACTTCTTTACACTGGAAAAAACACCTGGAACATTCTCATTTGAAGCGGAAGCTTTGAAAAGCCTTGGCAAGGTGGTTCCAGTTAAGTCCATCTGAAGTCCCTCCTGTGCTCTGAGGATAGCAGACAAAGGCCTTTACATAAGTTCAAGTGGGCATGTGTGAGCTGCCCCCATGTAGCTGCACATTTAGAGCAAGGTGATTTCAAGAAAGAATACACCCAGCAGTAGCACAGGCTGTAGTTTATGATTTCAGGTCCACTTTCAGTGACAAGATCCATTTGATAAAGAGATCAGTATAGCAATGCTCATATCTTTTTTTATTGCTGTCTTCTCTATGGAAAAAATCCCAGCACTGGTATTCACAGGACAGGGAAATTGGTAGATATCTTCAGCAACATATTCAGCCCAGGAGTTGATCCACATCTAGCAATCTCAGGCCTTAGGTACTATTCATCTCACAAACAACTGTGTTTGACTCCTATCTCAGATGCAAGATATGTACCCCTTCTACCATCTCTCCATCACCTTACAAGTCAGCTTCCACATCTGTAAAATGTGGGCAATTATACTTCTTTTCTTTTAGCCTTCATGTGACATGGCCATTTAATTATAAACTGTCTGGAACAAGGTCTGCCTATCCATATGCCTACCAGCAAATACAACAGGAGCCCTCACTGGATGGATGGCCAATGCTCCTAAAAGAAATTGTCATTAGTGATCCTGCACTGTCTCCTGCTTCAAAAAAAGGACATGCAACGATAGAACTAGGGGGCCCTTCTCCTAAGACATATAGTGATATTCTTAACTACACCAGAAACATGCTTATAGGGTGGCCTGGATTGTTTGTCTCAGGTTTTAGGGAGTGAACAGATGTAACAATTTTCTATAATTTGGTTTAGTGCAGATGCTGAAATGGGGCATTCACAATAAAATATATGCAGTATATGTAATTTCAGCTGGATCCTCTGGTGTTTTAAAGTAAAAATGTGTACCTGCAAGCTGTTTTATGGTTTCTCAGTCATAATTATCTCTGTTACACAGACTGCTACAACTACAACTCTTTCTTCGTGTGCAAGCTTTTTAACAATGTCTTGACAATTCTGTGAATTTTGCAAGGCATGGTATTCTCCTTTTGCTTTGCTCAGAAGCCTGTTAAATTGTTTAATTTCTCTTTGCAGTAAATTTATGAAGTAATCAAATCAAAGAAGGTAGCAGCAGATAATCTATATGAGAAGCTCTTGCACAAGACTAAAAAAAGGATCCGTTTAAGAATCTCAAAGTCTAGATAATTAACACATTAACAACTTGAGCTGCGAGTATCTTGTTTGACAATAGAAAAGAAGCATTCATCTACTGCAATTGCATTATTATATTATGACTGGAAGGAGCCTGGAAATGAAGGTTAAAATTCTTAACAGCTGCTGCCTGGTGCATGCACTTGAAAGAGTATGTTCTGCTGCCTGTGGCATTTCTCAAGGGATGTGGGAGCTGATGAATGACAGAGATGCTAATACTAAAGTACCAGATATTTATTACATCAATACCAAAGAATAGCCTTTACTAGATTTAACAATTAGGCTGAAGGTCCCCAAAATCCCTTGCTAATCACAACATCAGCTGACCTGACAGACAGGAAGCCACAGGAAGGTAGATGCTCCCTTTGCTTTTTAGTATTCTATACATACCATTAGGGTTCCACTGGTCTTCTCCTCCCAGCACGAACAAGAAGTTTTCCACTTCCACGACACAGTGATGGGCACTGTTGTATGGCATAACTGCAAGCAAAGCAAGAATTCTTTGTCAGCTCAAGACACTGATTTTATCAAATATTTCCTCTTCACCATCTGTATGAAATAACATGAGAATGAGTCACCCCAGGCATATACAAACACTGACTTAGCAGCAGACAAAGCCATTTACTAGTAAACTTATGCAATTCAGTTTTGCAAATAATAAAGGAAAAAATCGGGAATTCTGGTCCCTCAGTGGCCCCTCACTTGCCCAAGTACCATACATGCTGATCTAAAAAGAACTTGTAAAAAGGAGTGAAGTTGCATTATATTTCCCTGAAAATAAGCAGATGCTAGGAATCCTAGTATGCTAGAAAACATTAAAAATAAAATCTCAGCCCGGCTTTGTTCTGCTGGTAATATTTCCACAAGAAGAGTTGGTATGTTCAGTTGCTTTCTATTACACAGCAATGAACAAGCTGCATTTCCATACAGTTTTAAGTTTTTAAATTAAGGTCCTGCTGATTTAATGCCTTTTCCAAATGTATACGCTTAATTTCCTGTACAATGTCATTAGCAGCACAATCACACATCTTCTATTCATCTAATCAAGAAGCCCTTTGTTAGCAAAGATCAAAACTGTGGCATTAGATTTGCAATACCCCTTTTATAGGGGGGAGGTATCATCGTAACCATGGACCAGCTACAGATGCAAACATCTGTTTCTTAAAATTTACATTTTCCACTGTAAATGTTAAAATGCAAAAAACAAAGACTACATGTACATAATACACACATATTATTGCAGTGTGCCATACCCACCATAATGATATTATAAGGAAAATGTAAACTTATGCAGCATTAGTTACTATACCACATAGAGCAGTTTTGGCCCAGTGACACCAGTAGGAAAAATGATGTCCTTGTTCAGCTCATCATATGGGCACCTTAAATCTAGGTGAGGACAAATGGGGAGGTGATGTGCATGTACAGGCAGGGAACTTATTGCTTGACACGGATCAACAGAGCACTTAGGAAACCAGTGCAGTGGGAAATCAATATGACTCAGGGCCAGCTCTTACTTTGTGCTCTTTTGCCAATGCCAAAAAAAAAAAAAAAAAAGAGGCAGCCTATCTCACACTTGGATTATTTTGGTGATATATCTCTCATTTCATTTGTTTTATTATCTTTTATTTTTCTCAGAATGCAGTTGTGCAGTATAGCATATGCAAATAATAATAAGAAGAAATACGCACAGCTTTGCTATTTAGGACACATTTTCTTAAAGATCAAGTGGGCTCATTTAAGCTTCTTACTGAAGTTTTTGCCTAGGCTATGATGAATAAATAAGGTATGTTTTTAGTTTCTAGTAAAGGTCGAATATCTTTTTCATAGTCTGTGCTCTTACAAGTCATGTAAGTGAAGCAGTTCTTAAATTAGGCAGCCAGGTACACTGAAAGTTCATTAATTAAGGTTATTTGTTACTGATTTAATTTATATTAACTAGGAACTAATCTTATACTAGACACTGCAAAAAAATTTATACTACCTAGAGATTCCTACAGTAGGATGAAAGAATGAAGTCCATTTTTGCTACCTTTTGAGACACCATATCATCATTATCTCACTTTTTAGTCTTAGACATTTTCCTATTTTAAAACCTTCTCTCTCAAAACCACAGAACTTTTCTTGATTTTGTGGATGCTTGTAGTAAATAAGGAATTCGGTCTCCCATGAGAAATTTGCTGCCTTCCTTAGATGCTTTTTGGGGCCCCTCCTCTCAAGAAGAGACTCCCCAGGATCAGTCTGTAAGGGCTTCAAGTTTTAAGTAATACAGTGCTCTGTTACAGTTTTCAATTATGTCCAAGCTGGTGGTTGCACCCTCAGCCTCTTCTGTTGGTCAGTCTGGAGAGCTCCAGCTTTTATAGAAAAAGTTGTCTGCAGGCAGCACACATGCGTATTTTTCACACTGTGTTTTCACTTTTGCAGACGTTTGTGTTTATTTATCCACCCTATTGACACAAGCAGGGTCAGTAGAGGAAGAAATTCTGCTTTAAGCTTTTCTGCTGTTCCTATGCATATAAGGTATGCAATAAGACTCCCGTAATTATTATGATAATTAAACCTTGAAAACTAATGGCTTAATCCTGGCTCCTACTGAAATTGATGGCAACATTCCCACTAATACAGGATTGGGCCCAAATGACCCAAACTACCATCCATAACTCACAGGAAAGCCAGAAGGAGCTTGCCTTAGAAAACAGGGCAGTATTTGGCCTTCAGAAAGAAAGGTGACTGCAATAAAACACTGCAGACCATTCCTGTGACCTTTGTTTCTCTCAGAGCTTTGGGGAAAACTCAGTTCTTAGTCTCGTGAATCTACCCATGGGGCTGAAGGGAGCTGGACAAAACAGGGAGGATGGAGCAACACTGTGGACAGCTAAGAGGAAAGGGACTCTGAGAAATCAACCACCTCACAGTCTTTCTCCTTGACCCCTCAGAATTGGGTGTTATGCACAGAAATCAAAACTATGTGAATGAACACATTTTTTTTTTCTGCTATCAAATGTCCCTTGAGAGTACAGAAAACTTGCACTAAAAACCATGATTCTTGTGAACATACACCCAGCTAGGACCTAACTTTTCATAGACAACAGTCAAAATTACATGGCAATGAGCATGCTAAATTCAGTATCTGGAAGAAGCAATCTTCTCAAACTCATTGGGCTTGCCAGGGTGTAACAAGAAGAATTTGGCCCATCACACAGTCTGGCCAGGCTGCTGCTTTCATTAATTTCAGTCTTTGTCTTTTGTTTGGCTTTACTAGTGTGAAAATCCCATCTTCTCATTTTTTTATTTCAACTCATTGGAACACCTGCCTGCCCCACAAAAAGGGTATTTGAAGAGAAGTTTGTATGCCACGCTCAAACACAGCCCGGCGTGAGTTTTTAGCGTGTCAGTCAGTGAGTTAGAGGGAAAGGGTAAGGAGAAGCTAATCAGGATGAAATGAGATTAAAGGCTGTCTAATTTTACAGCAACTGTGATCCATCAGCCACTGTGAAAGTGACAGTGGAAATGAATGATGGAGACAGACAGGTGGGGCTGTACATTTCACTGATTTATCCTCAAATGCACTGGGCCTTATTTTATTGAGTGAACATGACCGCATTTATCATGTCTGTCATCTAAACCCACTTCCCTCCATTTAAAAAGGTCACTTTACTAGGAGGGAGTAGGATAGAGGCACTTTCAAAACAGATTTAAAATTTAATAACACATGTTTATAAAACCCTGTGCAAAAATTCTTAACTTTATTAAAGACCAATTTAAAAAGAAGGTGAAAACACTATTAAAAAGAGAAGAAGATAAAAAAAAGCCATGGTCATCTGAGAAACATGCCAAGGTGATAGGTGCCAGGGAAATATGTGAGCTAGACAGATATAAATAGAGTAGTTGGAGTAGGCAGAAACCACCTCTCCTAAGTCCCTGCCCTCATACACATTTGCCAAAGCTCAGGATGCCCGTGCTTTCCTGCACCAAGAGCACAGACAAGTCCAAACAGCCCTGCTGAAGACAGTACTCCCACCAGCCTCCTTCCCATGCATTTGATGTATGACTGGTAGGAGACACTTGGTAAGGTGGGAGGAAATCTCCCAGGTACAGATCTGTAAAATGAAAAGCTGTGTAAGTCAAAGCCAAATGGAATATTTATACTTGAGAAGGGTCTGGAAGGCTGCAATGGTATTTCCTAAGAAATTCTTTACTACACGGACATCAGTGACATTGTGCAGGAGATGACGCTCAGTTGTTCTTCAGATACAGATGCAAGTTGATACTGCATATCAGGACAGATATCCCAAGAAGAAACTCCTCACATATGCCAAAGCTCAGCTAATAAAAAGTCCCAGACAATGTTCTTGGGACCTGATTTCAAAATCAGAGACTACAGGTTATAGCCAAAGGCTCATGAAATCAAACACTCTCAACTATGAAGCCTGTGAGGACAACCAGATGCAATGATGCTTCAAAGTCACCTCCATGATACACCTCATGCACCTAACAAGCAACAATGTGTGCTCTTTGTCTTACCCATTTTTGCTTAGTTTCTGCCAATTATTGCACATTTAGGAAACAGCATCTGGTTGTTCTCCATAAATTAATCGAAGGGTCATCAGTTCCTCCTCCTCCTTACACCTTCCCCTGTCTATTGTCACTTCAACACTGACTACCAGGAAAGAAGGGAAAACTGGAACAGCACTTCTCAAGACAGGAGAATGAGCTCTGGTCCCAGGAGATCAGAAATCTGTGATACAGGCTATAGCCATTCCCTTGCTCTGCTAAAAACTCCTTTCAGAAGTTGATTCCTCTATTAAAAACAAACAAACAAACAAACCACTAAAAACCCCCAAAAACAAATAAACAAAAACAAAACAAAAAAACCTAGAAAAAACCCAACCCCAAACAACCCAAAAAAACCCAAAACCAAACCACCACAACAAAAAAACCAAACCCCATAGATTCTTCACTGCCCTGAAGCAGTCAGCTGCTTGAGATACAGGAGGTACTGTAAGGAAAGCCAAGAAACCTCTCCCTCAACTACTGCACAGCTTGAGCATAGCCCCTTCAAGACTCAGTACACACCAAGAAGTCATGCTCAGCATCTCTAATGACCTGTGAAGATGACGCAAGAGAAGAGTGTGTTTCCAGAACAAAGATGTCATTATGAGGGGACATATGGATTCAATAATGACCTTCTACAATTCTAACAGCCTATCCTGTTGACTACATAATATTCAACTCCTGTTTCTTGAAAACTGGTTATTTCTACAGCTCTGAAGAGGGCAGTGCAACAAGAAATGTCCCTTTCCAGTACAGAAAGCACATACAGACTCAGTTTAGGAGACTGTGATTTGCTTATGGCAGAGATGCAATATTCATGCAGAGACACGATATTCATTTCATTCCCAACCCTATCAGCAAAACGCTGGGCAGACCACAGCTGGTCCAATTATTCCCTGAGAACAAAATATCAGACACTGTTCACC